TGAGATGGCTCTGCGCTGGATTTGTTTTGCTGCTGTGGCTTCTTGTGTTCATCTGTGCTCTTCTGCCGGCTCATACGATCTTATTTCTTATCGTTATGTGGCCGGTCTTGAGATTTTGAAGGTCCTATGCAAACCTTAAATTGGGGCCTCACATAAGCTAACACAAACTTACACCATTACGTAATGCCATACAATAAATGTTTTTTTTTTCTCGTAAAGTGACCAAAGTACCCCTACTCCCAAGGACAAAATTAAAATTTCACAAAAGAATTAAATTGGATTAAATTGGGTCAGGGATGTTACACCTTTTAAATAATCACCATGATTGTGATGATGAGTCTTTGTCATCATAGATCATATTCATATATTACATATTTTTTAACACCTAATTTATTTTGTATCAATATTCCAAGAACATCATTAATTCGATGCAATTATTTTGGTTGAGTTAGTTGGATGCATTATTTTTTGCAAAATTGAATATCTGAGCATAGGGTTTAGGGTATTTATTATTTCAGTTTGTGGTTGTTAAAGTAGCTAGGATATTGAATGTTAGTGTTGACATCGGACAAGCCTTTAACACAAGCTGGTTTTGAAGTTGTGCCTTGAATAAAAGTTGAGGCCCTACAAACCAACACAACTAGGAATGTCTTTGTGTCAACAATTTGCTCACTCGGTATATATATATAACATTTGTTAAACATATATTATACACATACAAAAAATCGGAGCCCCTCAAAAATCAGGGGCCCTGTGCGGTGGCACCACTTGCACACCCTCAGGGCCACCCCTAGTACTAGTGTTTAGCACCTTGTGCAAAATAAAAACCCAATTAAGCGTGCATGATATCAATGTGGCCCTTTTGTTTTCACCTGATGATATGACGAGTTTCGTAACATTGGGCATCAAAGATAATAAAAAGATGATGAAGGGAAGAATTTGAAGGACACGTAAAGTCATTAAACACACCTTGTTTTATTCATATTGTATATTTTTCTTGTAGTGACAAGTAGTACTCCATTTATAAAATAAAGAACAAGAACGAATCGTTGTTTATAAAATAAAGAAAAAGAACTACTCCATTTATAAAATATGAACAAATCCTCAATTTCGACTTTATTAGATCGCAACTAGTTAAATATGACAACACATAATTAAAATCGTTGAAATCAAGATCAAACTATGGTTTCTCCTAATGTGTTAGCTGCATCTAATGTGATGTGGTTAGTAATATGAGTAATAAATTCTTTTACAAATTACAAACAACATACAATTATTTAATGTGATACATACGCACATGGAATTACTCGAAAAATAATCATTTTACTACTTTTGTGATGTCCGGACGCCATTGCAAACATAGAGGAAAATAGGAAGGAATAATATAAAATACATGGCGTATGCATGGTAATAAAGTCCGAAGCCCAGGAGAAAATCTTTTTTTTTTTTTTTTTTTTTTATAACTCAAGAAGTATTATTAGCCACTGGCCAACCCTCTTTATTAATACGAGACTTTTGTGCAATCGCAGTTGATGACAACTGTATTAAACTGAGAATTTTTTTTTTCTAACCTCAATTTATTAAAAAAGGAATCAATTGGCATATTCTTCTGCGACCACTATATTATTGACGTAGATAACTCTATAGAGAAGAAGTGACGGCATTGGATCCCTTGCGTTAGATAGAAAGTACCGTGACGCATGAAACATGACGATCAGCTTTTTCTACTTTTCTTCTATAAAATGGAGAGAAGAATTTTTATTTTTGCTCATCACAGACGAAGCCTTTAGTTTTGCTCCACAAAATATTGCAGACTAGCTAACACATACTTGTTATTTGGTCTGGAAACAATGGGATTGGAAATGCGAGTTCTCCTTGTGCTTGCCATGGCTATATGCCTCCCCTCCGCCGCATATGCAGCCGAGGGAACAGCCACTTTTTATACACCTCCTTATGTTCGTAAGTATATAATTTCGCCGTTTCAAATATATTATCACAAGCTGAATTAGTTGCTCACAGGAAAAGTGGTGTTTTTACACAACCAGTTTTGCCCTGGTGAGGCGACATGGTGGCTCATGAGTCATTCTTTAACCTAATATGTTCTCAATACTCCTGCTGGGATTCTTAACATCAGCTCAATACTCCTGCTGGTATTCTTATGCTAGAGGAACGTAACGAAGATGGCCTTCATGGCTACTATCTTTTCTTTAAGCTGATGTGCAAAGCTTCATTAATCTGAGTATTACATTAATTTCTTAATTAGGTTTCAAAGCGTAGGAGAAATTTGTTTAATCGAGTGTCCTACATCTTTCAGAATGATTCAATTAGTGTGTTTATTCGAAACAATGTCAACCTGCGTCAGTTTCATATGAGTTTTATAGTATAATTAAATTGATGAGGGTTTAGTAAAATGTTTAAAAGGGTTGGAATTTTACCATTTTACCCTCTTAAATATAATATGTTTGTCTATATGTATATAGGAAAATGCTAGGCATACCACATGTCTTTGTATACATGTATATAGGAAAATGCTAGGCATACCACATTTATATACCACCTTATGTACGACATTTGTAACTTTGCATGTATGCGCACATACCCAGCTAATAAATTAAAGTAAAAATAGACATTATAAAAAAAAAATTATATAGACCAACTGAAGAATAAAATCATCCTTTTTTATAATTATATAGACCAACTGAAGAATAAAATCATCCTCTACCTGTAGAAGGTGCATGGAGGTGTAATAAGATGGCGGAACTACACTATGGGCTGCAATGAGCATAACCCAGAGTGGGTTTTTGGGGGAAAAAATCAAACCTACATATTTGATTTGTTTTAACTTATTAAAGTTTAAAAAAAATTCAATTCTTTATGTATTTAGTTGCAGGGCAACAATAAAAATACGCATTAAAATACGTACACATTGAATTATGTTGACATATTTCAATTTTGATAATATGTGTTTTTCGGTCGCTTTTAATATGTATTTGTTTTATATTAAAGCTTATTGGAAATTAGTAAAAAAAGCTATAAACTATAGTGATTTATATAATTTAATGTATCCTTTTATTTCTAGAAAAACTATAATATAAGTAAAACAAAATATCGTTAGATTAATTTTAAACTAATAAATTTAACTAACTCGCAGGTTCATAAATCAACCTATAATTTATAAACATTTCATGAAGTCAAACAGAATCCAAGTTGATCCTATATATCAAAAGAAAACCCCTAACTATACATCCATTAATAATTTTCTCGTTGACGTGTAGCCTCCTCATGCAACGGATACCAAAACGATGGAGTGATGATAGCCGCAGCAAGCGATGCCATCTGGGGCAACAGAGCAGCTTGTGGAAGAAGCTACAGAGTGACATGCACCGGAGCCACTAACCAAGGTGTCCCACAGCCTTGCAAAGGAACCAGCGTTGTCGTTAAAATTGTCGACTATTGTCCTCCCGGATGCAGAGGAACCATTGATCTCTCTCAAGAGGCCTTCGCCGCCATTGCTAACCCCGACGCCGGCAAAATCAAGATTAGTTATACTCAGTAAGCACATATTAACACTCTCTAATGAATTTTTTTTTCCTTAGTAAAGTTTGTCATGTATATGAAACTATGAGTTCAAATTTAATTTTCCTTATTTTTTATGGCGTGCAGGGTTTGAAGCTCTCTAAGAATAAAGTCATTAGGACTATAAGAAGGAAGAGGGCACTTGTAATGGAATAATTAAAGCAGCACACACTGTATGAAACTGTAATTATGTTTCACATGTGATGAGCTGATGTTATAACTATATGATCATATGATTAAATAAAGAGGGTCCTTAAGTTACTATTTTTCAGTTTAAAACATCTCATGGTTCATCAATTGAAACAAACTTTGATCCTTCGATAGTAACTTACAAGCCTAGAATTGCAGAAAGTTCCAAACTACAATGATAAACTTGAACTTCACCGAAACTAACAAAATCATAATTTGACCTTCTTTTTTGAACAAAATTTGGCTTGGAATTTAAATGTTAGAAACTTCTGTCAATAGTCATAGTTGAACAAGTGGTTCGTCAATCCATCCATCCATGCACCAAACTCTTGAATTTTCCAAATAGTAGGTCTAGTCTTGACTTGGAATCTTCAATTCCAAACAGGCCAAGAAATGAGCGTGTAGATCCGGGAATTTATAAAAAATTAAAATTGCATAGATATTGAAAAAACCCCATAGTCTATAGATACATCTATAACATCTGAAAAAAAAATATATAGATACATCTACCTGGAAGCTACCAGCGGAGGCCATATAAAGACGAAAAAAAACTTACTTGTAATCAGAATAGCACTGTTTTGTTATCCCGGCCAATAACTATGACACATGTAAAAGTTATATCACGTGTCATTATGTTATTGACCGAAGATAACAAAAAGTGATATCCCGTTGCATGAGAGTTTCTTTCCATAAAGACTCCTCATCCACAAGTTAGCTAGATGGTCTACAAAACTTTATCATTCCCTTGAATTTTCCAAACACTAAGTCTTAGTCTTGATTTGAGATCAACATCCAAACAGGCAAAGCTGACTTACAAGAAATAAGCGTGTAGAAAATATGGGATTGATAAAGAATAATTTTGTCTCCGCAATCTTCTGCCTCTTTGGCTTGACCAAAAATAGCATGGGCGATAATTCGGGGCAATCGCAGTTGTATATGAAAATAATTTTCTACTTTTCCTATGCAGAAGACAAAATAAAAGGAATCAAGAACCGGCATATTCCTTGTACAACAAAATATTATTGGTCTCCATTGGTAGCTCTAATATTTTCAAAGATGACAGCAAAGACTGGCATTGACGCAGGCAGGACAAAAAATAATGTGCCACGCAACATGACGATGGATATAAGGTACAGTACGTAGCTATACCTACGTTTGCTCTATAAAAAGGAGGGGAGCCTTCCACTTTACTTCACAAAATACTGCATTAGAAATAATTATTACAACTTTTTGAGGGCGGCCATGGTTGTATGGCTTTCCTCGGCGGCATATGCAGAGCAGGGAACAGCCACTTTTTACACGCCTCCTTACGTTCGTATGTATACAAGTTTGTCTTGGTAGTTTTTGAATGTCACAAGCTAAATTAGTTTCCAAAAGGAAAACTGGTGCTCATTAGCTTGTTTTGCCAGTGGCTTTACTTAGCAATATGCTCTCACTCTACATTCCTTATATTAATTTCGGTTTAGGTATTTGCTTAAACTGATAATGTGTGCACGGATGTGTACTAGTTTCCTTTAGTTGATAAATTCCTCAAATATAACACGATTTTAGGGTGTGACGTGGGACTCACTCTGCATTTAAGTAAAGTTTGATGATCTATTTTTAAGTTTTCGTGGAAAGATATATTGTTCTTGAATAAATAAAGGGTTTTCGATTTAGCTGCAAGTATCACCATTTAATCAAAGCTTTTTATATGATTTTCAATTTGGCTAATTCATTGTAAAGATGAATCTTTAGTGGAGAATTATTAAAATAAAGAGTTAAGTTTCTAATTCAAAATGAGATTTCTCCTATTTTTCTTGCTGGAAATTTGAGTGAAATTGTGCAAAATTTAAGGAAAAAAATGGGTCGATGGAGGAACTATGACCTCTTTGGCTTACCTCAGTGCATTTTCGGTGGACTTGCAGCCTCCTCATGCAACGGATATCAAAACGATGGTGTGCTGATTGCTGCAGCAAGCGCTCCCATTTTTAACAATAAAGCTGCTTGTGGAAGAAGCTACAGAGTAACATGCACCGGCGCTACTAACCAAGGTGTGCCACAACCTTGCAAGGGTACCAGCGTTGTGGTTAAAATTGTGGATCTCTGTCCTTCTCCTGGATGCCAAGCAACCCTCGATCTCTCTCAGGAAGCCTTTGCCACCATTGCTAACCCCGACGCGGGCAAGATCACGATTGAGTATAATCAGTAAGCACCCACCACATTAGTTTCCCTATCTATATTTTATTCAGCAACAAGGCATCTGTTTCATTCATGCAAATTAGCATCAAGTTTTATTTATTTCTCTTTCTTTTTCTTCTGAATTTTTATTTATTTAAAAGATCTCTCTTGTATGCAGGGTTTGAAGCTAAGCTAGCTAGCTCTCTAAGCCATATGGAGGAGCAAATTATTATGCGACGCAAATTTTATGCCACAATTTGTGTGAAACTTTTATGTTTCGTTGAAGTCAAGTCATGAATAAGAAAGCAGCACTTTGTGTGAAACATTTATGTTTTGCACGTGATAATTAAATAAAGAGGGCCCTTGCTGTTTATACAAAATGTACATCTTGCACTTTCTTATCGTTTTTCCAATTGAATGGGGTTTAATTTGGTGTGTTCGAAGAACATATAAGAGGAGGAAAACAGTGGGAGGAAAAGTCTCGCAAGTTCGCAACGCCAAACAACCATATATATATATACACTGGATTTATGGAGAGATAAGGTGAAAGCAGATGTGCGGCCGTTTTGCCCTGATACCATGAAAGAAATTGAAGTTACACCTCAAAATCAATTGACAAGGAGAATAACTCAATTTTTATCAAGTTTCTTAACTTTTCAATGTGAGACAAAACTCTCAACATAAACCAAATCAATTAGATAGATTGCACAGGAATGGATGCCATCATAATGACATAACACATGTTACTTATGCAATATCTCATAACACAAGTGCTCTAGGCCACTCAAGTATGGTATTTATTAAGGCAACTAATTTATCAAAAAATATTATTGCTTATTCTTAAATAATAATAAAATATTTGTGTGGCATAGAGCACTTTTGCAACTTGTTGCATCCAATGTAGTAGAATTCTATAGGGAGGGCCTAATCTAATAAGGTCTTTAGATGAGACTTTGTGTCTTAACTATTGGATCAAATTGCTTAATTTAATTCAACGGTTAAGAGATAAGGCCTCATTCAAGTGCCTTAGATAATGCCCTCACTATAATGAGTCATCCAAGGTGAGTGTTAAGGAGAGTCAAGCTTGCTGGAGTTCTTGGCTAGACCTACTGTCACGATGCAAGGGCAATTATGCTTTTATCTCTAGCCTTACTTCATTTTTTGTTTTTCATAGAAAATAACTCATTATCTCACGATACTTGGGATGAAATTGGGGACACCAGATCCTCTCCCCTCAAATTCTGAGACCGAAAACTAGTACATAACCCCAAAAGGTGAGGCGTTCCCCTACAACACCCTTCTCATACACATCATCCAAAAAATGGGAAAAAAGAAATCCATGGCATAACTAGAAAAACCATTGTCATTTCTCACTTCATTTTCCCCCCTATAATGGTAGTTCATGTGTTCGAGTCTTGGATTTTGCTTGGGAAAGTTGTTGATGTGTTTAAAGAGAGACAACTGAAGCAGTGAGAGGAAAAGAGAGGGAGAAAACATGTGAAGTAGAGAGGGTTAGGAAATAAAGAGACGAAATTTTCCTTAAGAAAGGACCCCATGTGACTAACGGAGAAGTGGATGGAATGTGACTTGTAAGACAGGTGGTACATTGCTCCATGGTGATGAGTCTTGGTGGCACATCACCAAAACAAATATTTTGGGTGGTAATTGCACACACCCCTGTAATTCATATGATATTTGTGCAAATATTTCTTTAATTAAAGGACATTAAGTATTTGGGTAATGGGGAAAACTCAAAATGTTGGGCCATTTTGACTTGGGCTAGTTTTTTTTTTTTTTTTTTTTTTTTGGGTCAGAATTAAATTTTATTAGATAGAAGGCAAAAGCCGGTTACAACAAAGTGAGCTAAACAAAGGAATTCAATGAACTGCAACATAAGAAGGCATAAAACCTACTACATCATAAAACTTGAAGAGAACATAAAGCCCAGAAAAGCAAAGTGCACACAAAATGCAGTGAATACAAAACAGGGAAATGTCACACCACCCATAACCAAATAGCAGCATAATCAACACAAGCCCACACCCACCGGAGAGGAACCAGTAAGCAATGCTCGAGATAGAAAATGGTGGTGGACAAGCCACCAAAGCTACGAAGAGCGATACCATAATCCAAGCAATAAGTGACATAAGCACTTTAAAAGCAACCACAACTGCATAAGAGTCACCAAGGAGAGGAGACCCTCATGTGGTCGAGGCGCTGAAGATGGTGGTGAAGGGAAGGTGCCGAGAAATAGCCGCCAGTGGTAGAAGGAGAAAATGCATATCAAGCACTAGAGGCTCTTACAAGTAAAAACTAGAAGAGAATGTTGATCAACACCACAAAATTAGTTGAAAGCAAAAGTAGCACAAAAGACTGAAGAGAATCGCACAACACGCTTGGTCACCCGTTTGCCACCAAATCACAGATAGAGGCGAATAACAAATATGAAGTAGTTCCCAGCATGAATCAAATCTCAAATCTACAAAAGAAACAAACAAAGGAAAAACCCGCCAGCATGAATCTAAGATGTTTGTGTGTCTCTTGTAATCGACTTAATTTGCAAGTCCTATTATTGACTTAAATAAGACACGCAGGGCCATTGCCTCACTAGCTTTCTCTCCGGGCAAGGCTTGTTTCTCGGCCTCACCTGCAAATTGATTAGAGCATTCATAATGGCAGAGAGACTGTAATGAGGGGGTTACTGTGAGAGGAAATGAGGGGGTCCTTAGTAGCTATTCTATCAATTACAAAGTTAATATTGGACGGTTGGATTGAATCTCTCAACACACTCCTTTTGGAGACCCAATTAGAGATCAATAAGAATCTTTGGAGCTCTAAAACAATTGCTCCAGTGGAGGGTGCTACACTATGGGGTCTTTACATTTGGGGTGCTATAAATTTTTATTTTTTTTAATGTCGTAGTTTGATTATGTGTTTGTTCTTTTATTTCGTTAACTTTTTAGAGTTATTTTTTATGTTATTTTATGAACATGTGATTGACAAATTGGAGAAATGTAAAGAAGAGTGAGCATTGTTGATGTTGTAAAATTTATGAGTACAAACAATTGTTGTAAAATATTTGATGTTGTTACATTTATATATAGGCAAAAATGCAAAGATTTTGTGGAAATGAACACGTATAAGATAAATTTGAAGAAACAAAGAATACAATTAGATTAAGTCATGACATTGGTTAAACTTAGGTTGAATTTGGGCAGTTAATTTTATAGTCGTTATAGCCACTTGAAACATAGCCATTAGAGCATTTCCAGCAAAGGGCCCAAGGGGAGGGTTGGGGGGGGCAAACTCAAAATGGGGTTTCCAGCAACAAAGATCTGCCAGGGCAAGGAGTGGGGCCCAGCTACCTGGGCTGGCCCGAGGGGGAGGCTGGCCCGAGCGCCAGCCCGATGGCAATCTGACGTCAGCGCGCTACAGTGCCCGCTACAGTGCTCCCTTTTGCCCAATAAAAAAATATAAAAAATGTAAAAAAATACCCAAAAAATACTGAATTTTTTTTCTATAAATACCAACCAATACTCTTCACTTTTAACATCAGCAGCCAATATTTTTGTAATAAAAAATTACTTTTTTTTTTTTTTCCCCTCTCTATACCTTATTTCCATTTTCAACATTTAAGTAAATGTCTTTGTCCTTTTACTTTTATTTATTTTTATATTACTCCATTTACTGAAGTTTACAATGTAAATAAGGAAGTACCTCCCATTTGGATTCAAATAAAAATACTAGAAAATCAAATTCCCACCAAATCAAAATATAAAAAATCGGTTTTAGTGCAAAATACGATTTAGGCTAAAAATGATGGCTCATTAAGTGAATATATACTTCATATTAAAATCCCATAAAATCAAGTTTTCTTATTTGATGCGTAAGGAATAAAAGCCGCCAAAAATTATCTTGAGAAAATGATTATTCCGAAAAACCATTTTTCATACTTAGTCAATATTGCACCTCCGCTAAAAATCTTGAGAAAATGATTTTTCATATGTAGGAACCCAAAAATCTTATCCGAAAATATTATCCAAATTAATTGTTTAAGTAAACAAAGTTGTGAAAAAAAAAAAAACAAAAAAAATGAATAGTATTTGCCATGGCAAGCCTTGCATTGCTGGAAACACAATTTTTTTTTTTGCTAGGGCAGCTACTATTCACGTGAATAGTACCCGCCCTAGGGCTCCCCTTGCCATGGCAAGGGGCTAACTGGTGGAAGTGCTCTTAGAGGCTTTCAATTTGGCTTTTCTCTTCATATATTGTTTTCTGAACAAATGTGAATCGTCCAAATTGAGCACCATTATCAAGTAGTTCCCGCAAATATGATTGCTTGACGCAGCTTGCCAATCTTGTCTCACGCTCGCCATGTGGACAACGGTTCATTGTGAGATATTTTTCCCTAAAATGAAGTGTTGCATGGTGGTTGAGCCTCGTATAGAGATCTCATTATCATTACCCTAGAGGTGAAGTACGCAAAATGTGAAATTTATATAATACGGTGGAAGTTGTTGGAAGTTTGAATAAAATCCGAGACCACTTGTCCCACATCGATGGAATGGAGAAAGCATAAATGGAAGGTGGGCCTAATGGAGTGACACTTGGGCCTCACTTATGGATTGGGCTTGTTTGGATTTAAATTAATTTTTTTAATTTTGAATTAATTAAACCCAGATTAACAGCTGTTTTAACAATTGTAAACATTTTGAAAAGGTATCAGGCCTATTTAAGTTAGAACAACCCTAACCTACATGCACATAAGCATTTGAACGCAAATTCATTTATACACTTCCAGAGAGAGAAATATACAAAGTTTACCATAATTAGAACTTAGAATATAGATAGTTGAATCTTGGGAGGCAATCATTAGAATATAGATAGTTGAATCTTGGGAGGCAATCATGTGTAGAACTTCAAACACTGAGAATGGTTGAAATTACTGTCTTTAGAACATTGCATCAAATCTACAAGCTTCTATCTCGAATACAAGTCAGTCTCTTTTATTTTTGTTTACTGTATTTTAATTTACAATTTGTTGTCAATTTGATTATCGTTTAAATCAATTTCCTTGGTATACATATTGTCCTATTTAGATATATTTTATTTATATTAGTCATTGATTGTTGTTTTTTCCAACAGAAGTGAGAACCACCACAAACGGACCCGTCTCAAGCCGAGTAAGTTGAATAGTTTTTTAAGCTGTATGTACATAATCTTGCTAATATGATAGCAATGAAGGTAGTGGCGGACCTATTAAGGAGCAAGGAGGTGCAGCTGCACTTCTCATCACCAAAAAAACCATTGTAGGTGCTTCAAATTGCTCATTTGCTCAGCTGGTAGTGGTGCACAGTGCACAAATTACCTTATTTCCATTTTGAGCATTTGAGTAAATGTCTTTGTCCTTTTACTTTCATTTATTTTTATATTACTCCATTTACTTAAGTTTACAAAGTAAATAAGAATTCCCACCAAATCAAAATATGAAAAATCGGTTTTAGTGCAAAATACGATTTAGGCTAAAAATGATGGCACATTAAGTCAATATATACTTCATAATAAAATCTCATAAAATCAAGTTTTCTTATTTGATGTGTAAGGAATAAAAGCCGCCAAAAATTATCTCGAGAAAATGATTATTTCGAAGAACATTTTTCATACTTAGACAATATTTTTACATAAAACAATTTTTCATGTATGATATGAATGCATGAAGGGATCTAAGGTCAATCTAAGTATTAAAAAAAAAAAAAAAAAAAATTAGATGTTCAATCCACAAAGAGTTTTTAGTCTTTCAAAATTGCACCTCTGCTAAAAAATTTATGGGTCCACCAGTGATTATGAAGGTTTTAACTTGTTTGTTCTAACCATAATCTTACTTAGGTGTTTTATATACTTGTATTCTCTACTTGATTCTTCCTAACTTTACAATTCTAACTTCGCCCCTTCTTCTTTGCGCTCAATCCACTCGACCTCATCAAGAGCCGCTGCAACTCTCCTAATTTCATGATGTCTTTATTGGGTTAGGTATTGGGCTGATGAGGCTCCACACTCAACTGCGTGAACGTAAGCAGACGATGGTGATTGTTAGTGGGTTATGTGCCATATATATTACTAGACAATGGCCTCCAACCGCTCCCGTGAATTTATTTACATCACCCATTAATGCCAATCCCCAATCCTTTACGTATCAAAATTGAGTCTCTTTAATGCAACAGCCTGTAACACATTGACCTGCTTTGCTTGGGAGTTTCTGCTCAAAATCAAATGAAATTTGTAACATAATGAGAGGGCACAGATACAGTAATTTCTCATTTCAATTTCAAAATTGACTCTCCACCCTTTTTACATTTTACTGTGGGTCATAATAATCTCATTCAATGATATGTGAGTCATGATAATCTTATTTAATGAAGCACATGTAACTTTCGTCAATTGATTAGGACAGTCAGCCCGATCCCTTGCATCCGAGTTCGTAAATTAGATTGCTGGTATAAAAAAAAATCTCATTTAATGACACGGATCTAACAATTTGCCACTATAAATGCCTAATCAAAGTCTGACATCAAACAATGACAATTTAACAAGGCATAAATCCAACTGTGTTGACCCACCCCATATAATATATTATTTTTGTTTTGTTTTTCTACTACGGGGCTACATTGTTGGACTTACAGAGAAAGAGCAGTCCAATTTTGACCTTTGAATATGCCCTATTTTCTTCAACACATGCTATAATCTGGAAAGAAAGCATTTTGCATCTCTCCACAAGAGAAATGCAGAAACTGATCTGAGATCCCTATCCAACTATTGCTTCTTCAATTTTCCAGTTACAAAACATCCAAATTTACCTTCCAGGAGGATGAGGAATCATAGATAATAATTTTCTATCTAGATAAGAATAAAAATTAAAGAAATTAACAGAAAACTAAACACTAGGATCAAATGATGAATGAACAACTTTGTTCTGCTGTCTACCCATGAGCCAAAGCAGTGTCCTCCTTGCAAAAGATGGTGGATTTGCTTGAGAATCCAAACTGTTACAGCTAACACTAACATTCTCCTCATCACAACCCAATTCACTCCCTCCATTTTCCCACCTGCCACTGTCAATCTCTGAAATAGTCCTCCTACTCCCACTCTCAACATTCTTGGCCTTCACTTCCTCTCCGCCAGCCACGCCACTCCGGTGCACAGGAAACCGGAAGGAAGAGGCCAGTCTCGACGAATCTCCTGCCCTATTCGGCTTTTCTTTCTTCCCGCGGAGCCAAATCTTCGATATAGAGAAGCTCTCCCTCTTGCTCCTCCCAATGGTATTATTGCCATTAGTAATACTAGCACTAGCAGTCCCTTGAGTCTCAAGGCCTCCAATTGCTTCAACCCCACTGAACTTGAATTCTCTTCTGGACTCACAATCACATTCAGACATTGCTTGCCTGTGACCTGGTGTTAATGGCAGAGTAGGCTTCTTGCTTGGTTGCTTTTTCATTGAGGCTCTAATGGGTACTTGCAACGAAGAATTGTCATCCATTACATATGCAAATGACCCCATAGAAAAGCACCTTCTTGCATCCACATTGCTGTCACTACTCCCTTCACCACCACCATCCACATTTCTGAACTTTCCAAGCTTCACAGGCACTACCTTTTCCCCAGAATCCACCATTACCGTTGGATTAGCCTCTTCTTTCGTCACAATTTCGCACGATTTGCGGTGGGACAAGCCCAATTCGACGTCTCCATGAAAACCCAGGTGGGAATTTGGTCCCAAAACTGAGTTGGTTCTGCCAATAGCAGCCTCTCTATCGGAGACCATCTCTCTTGAGCTGTCACTCCCAGATTCAAGAACAAGAACAATGGGGGAACAGCTATTGTTTGGAGAGAAATCAGGGAGCAAAGTATCTCTACACAAAGGGCAAGTTGAGTGAGACAAGAGCCATGTGTCTATGCACTCCATGTGAAAGGCATGGCTGCACTTGGGCAACAATCTGAGCTTATCTTCAGTCTCAAACTCACACAAACACACAGCACAATCAAATGGATTTTTCAATCCTATGATGGCTTTGTAATGGAAGACAGGGAGAGTGTCTATGAAAGACTGGTCAACCCCAGCATCATGGAGGTGGAACAGTTGCTGCAATTGTCCTTGAAGAACAGTCACACTCTCCAAGTCATCTGCATCTCTGCTCGAAGGTCTCAAAAGGAATCTAACAAGGAGATGAAGCAAACCAGAAACAAAGAAAATAATGGCTAGAATTATGATTATGAGCAGTATGCTTGGACTGACTTTGTTGCCAAAACTGAAACTATCTGATTGAACATTGGAGGGTGGGGGTGGCTGAGGAACAAAGTACGTTTGCAGAGTGGTAGTGGCAAGGCCTTTTTCTTTGATTTCAAGGAGGGACCGGACCATTTTTCTTGTCTTTGCTTATTTCCAAGGAAAGATTGAGAAAACTTACCAAGATTGCAGCTTTCAGCTTCAGGCATCTAATCTGAAGAATCTCATCTGGTATGCAAACAAACCAAAGTCCAAGTCCAAGTGAAAGTGCAGAATCCCAGACAGTTGTTTAAGATTGGTCTCATGTGGTTGTGCTGGATTATAAGCAGGATTTCTGATAGAGACTCAATGGTTTACCCTCAATTTTGTTTTTACAGTAAGAGAACTTGCAAATTGAAATGTCCTCTTCTGAGGAGAGAGAGAGAGAGAGAGAGAGAGAGAGAGAGAGAGAAGGCGGGTTTAAAAGATGGAAATAAATGGTGACACAGGTGAGATTTGAAAAGCAGAAGCCAATAAATCTAATAAAGCTACCACCCTGTGCAAAAATTAAATGACTTTAGGTCTGTCATTAGCCTATTTAAAAAATTTGGAGAACATGACTTCTATTATGAACACTACTTCATCAAATGCAAGGGTCTTCTTCTTCTGGTTCTGGTTGACTTCAAAGCAACCCTGCATCAACCCCAATGCCCATTTAATACCCTTCAGATAAAAATAATGATAAAATCTTGAGAAAATTATGGAAATGTGAACCCCCTAATGGGTTTTTTCTCGTTGGTTTTATAGTTTAATGTCCTTGTTCTGATCGCATTCTTTCCGTTTCTTCTATTCCATCTTCTATCTCAAGAAACCCTGAAAGTTTAGTTAATATGGAATGGATTACTTTTTTTCTGGGTAAAGGACAAGAAACACAGATGATAGTCACAAAGTCTGAAGAGAGAGAAAGAGTGAGGGACCAAAATATTACGCATTTGGAACTATTAGAAGTGGAAGCGTAGGGTACTGTGTATTTTTGTAATGTAGAGACAGTTCAGGGGAACCCAAAAGCAAGGCAATTGACTGTGAGACTTTAGTTTGTTTAACTTTTCCTCATGGATTTTTGGGGATGGCTTTTTGTGCCGCTTAGTCACTGATACACTTTCTGTTTACAAAGTGACACAAACATGATCGATATTGGGTTTTGGATTTGGTGCGCCAGGCCAAGAAAAATTTAAAAAGTACAAGACAAGGTAGTGATACATTATTGTTAGGATCAAGTAAGTAAACTCCTTTAGAGGTGTCGAGTAAAAATTGAAAAACACCACACACTTACGAAGCGATATCGTTTACTAGGAATTCATTGGATATCTTCACATGTGATCTTGGACCACTCGTTGTGTGAGGAAACCTATTAAGAACCCCAAAAACTATTTTAACTAAAATTGTTTGAGCATGTCAAAACTGTTATTAATCTATGAATGTTCATTATTATGCTTTGTTTTCAACAGTTTTATTATATGTTAGTAACGAGATGTAGTTAACCAAATAGCTTTCAAACATGGTCGATGCGCCCCTGCATATGGAACGTATGTGATGCTCACTCTACATTTTGGTGTAGATCACATATGCATTAGAGTACAAAAATTATGGTAAAAAATTGGCGAACATCATGGTGGGTACTAGGCTCATTGCCGATAGCTGCAACATTAATATAGGATTTAAAACCCCATGGTCCTAACATTGTGGAACAGTACCTAAAGTGTTGTCTTCGTCAATGCCTTAATTTGTAAAATCCAACATTTCAACGGAAAACCAGAGCTATGTAACTTTTCACACTTACAGAATTCATCAAAACTTAGACTCGTCCCGGCCCCTACCATGAGACCTAGGATAGATAGCATGGATATTTCGAAATGCCAATGCATCATTGATATCATTTATGTCACAAATTGACAGAAAAAAATCAAGTAGCGATTTCAATTGAATGGTGTCAATCGCTTAACTTGTCACATGGCAAGGAAGTTGATGCGTGTATATTTCGGTTTCTTCTATCCATTTAACAAAGGAAGTCTTTAATTATCTGCGTAGTTCACGTTGTGAACTAAATGCTTTCACACACACAATCATACTGACTAATTGTTTTCATATTATCGACTTTATGCTAAATTGATGTCACAACTTTATTAGGTTATCATTATTGATTAATTAATTGACTGCCTCAACCCTAGAAGGGACCAATTTAATTTTTTTATTTATTCTATAATAATTAATATGGTTGTTGGTCTAGCGAAGTATATACACTACTGCATGACTTGGGTGGTTGACTTAAATGCTTCCTTTTCCTGAGAATGCAAGCATGGGATATAGAGATAAGTGAGGCCTTTGCTTTACCCACGTCTCTAGAATGTTTTGCTTTTGCTTGAAAATCTAACTTTTTGGTGATTATATAATCTAAGTTTTGCTTTTGAATTTGATTAAAGACTTTTAGCTTTTATCTTCTTCTTTCTTTTTTTTCTTTTTTTTTGTCGAAGTTTCAATTCATTGCAATCCCCCAAAAAGGCAGAGAATAGTACAAACAAACCCGAACAAAACACCGCTAGAAAAACCAACATGAAACAAACAGGAACAAATTTAGCTAAAACCATCACAGTATAGCATGAAGATCATGCTCCCAAACATAAAAACTAAAATGGCAAAAGCCAACATAAAGACATTTAACCCACATAAAGGCATAAAGCCTACAAAGAGGTACTACGCCCACATTTGGCATAAAGCCCATATTAAACATAAAATACATAAAATAAAACATAGGAAAGCTAGCCACCACAACCAAAGAGAAACACCAAGCCAACACCAGCAAAAAGAAACTCCATGATTGTAAATTAACAAACCACCAATCACCCATAAATCAGCAACCAGCCAAATATCCCTAATTAGGAAGCACTTGGTTATTCTACGTACAAGTCACCGATGCTTTTCACAAAAGTTGAAGTTGTGGTCCACCTCCCATATCCATTTCAACTATTAGTAGGAGCAGTGGCGGATCCATGAATTTTCATTTCGAGGGTCAACATGTAAAAGGTTAAAAAAAATTCTATGCAAAATAGACCCTTTGAAATGAAACAATAATACTCTAATTCGTAGTTAATAGATAAAACCATACAAAATACTCATGTTCATTATCAACGAGAACTGCATCAACTTCAAAAAATTGACACACATTGCAATACGCCAAAGATATCTCTAAGAATGTGATAATAAACCAAAAAATTAGTGCAATCCTTACCGCCTCCTAAAGCATTTTGTCTTATTCGACATAAGAACTAGCATATCTTAGCGCAATCATGCTCATTTTAAGGCATTTACGTCATTTTTAGGTCCTTCGTAGTTTTGATTCGGGGCTTTCTCTACATTTCTTTTGGGTTCTAGCTCTCAAACTTTGGACCATTATGAGTACTGTCTTAGGGGGAGCTTATTCAAGCAAATATTTCTTCAATACGTAAGAGTTAGGTTATTCTTGTAACTCTTTGTGGACTGAACATCTAAAGCTTTTTATCTAGATTGACCTATGGTTCCTTCATGCATTCATATCATACATGAAAAACTATTTTAAGTTAAAATATTGGCTAAGTATGAAAAATGGTTTTTTAGAATAATCATTTTCTCAAGATAATTTTTGGCGGCTTTTATTCCTTACACATCAAATAAGAAAATTTGATTTTATGGGATTTTAGTATGAAGTATATATATTGACTTAATGAGCCATCATTTTTATCCTAAATCGTACTAAAACCGATTTTTCATATTTTGATTCTGTTGGAATTTAATTTTCTAGTATTTTTATTTGAATCCAAATGAGGGGTACTTCTTTTATTTACATTGTAAACTTAAGTAAATGGAGTAAAATAAAAATAAATGAAAGTAAAAGGACAAAGACATTTACTTAAATGTTGAAAATGGAAATAAGGTAATATGCCTATTGTGCTGGTGTGCTGTGCCCTTTGGAGCATTTCATCAAGCAGTTTAGGGGTAATTTGCAGGGGTCAACATCTTCTCCTTTAATGGTGGATCAATTGACCCCTCTTGTCCCTATGTGGATCCGCCCCTGAGTAGGAGGACCTTCCCCACTAAAGACTAAAACAAGTGTTTTGTTTAGCATATCTTAATCAAATTTATCGTTCAATGATTAATATATAAAAATTCCATATATCGTGTGTATAAACATAATTTCTATTTCAACATTTTGCACGAATATCATTTTCGTTTACCAAATGCGTGCAAACAATTTTTCAAGTTCCTTCAAAATCAAGGGAGATGATCACCAACCTAATGGTTGTGAGGTGGGATTTCTGATTTCAATGGTTGTTATTTTCCGTAAGGAGTAGAATTTTGCACTCCATATCTCACCTACTTACTTTGTTTTATCCCATTAATACATTTTTGGGAAAATAAAAATTAAATATTTTACCAGACTCATTTACCTACACTTTTGTGGGTCATAAAACCCTTCAATTTTCTTTTGGATAATAGTAGTACCGGATACAAATTTACAATATTTGAATACGAAATGCAGAGACTTTTGGTGTACTTTCAAGTAGTCCTGGATTACAAAATGCTAATCAAATATTTAGATTGATACCAAACAACTCTTTTCTGTTTTCTTCTTTTTCTCTTTTATTTATTTTGAAATAAACTAATTGTTTGTTAACTTTAAATTCGTTGCTCTGGGACAGTGCCCCATTACCCTCTCATCTCGTCGTTGCCTCCATCCTCTTTCTAGGTAGCGCCCCTTGTTTTAGGGCACTATATATGCTTGTTATTTATAAGCTTGCATTTGTATTCTTTGGGTCTTAGTTGTATAATATCAAGAAAGCTTACCTAATATTGTCCAGCATGTGTGAATTCTAGCTCCTATATACCAAAAATAATGAATATAGTGACCATTGAACTGCGACCACCACAACTAATCCAATAAGAACGTCTTGAACCAATTTTTGTCCCTGCAGAAGAAATATGTCTCTTAGCTAGAGAAGTCACTGTTATTTACAAGGAAAATACTTGTTTCGTTCTCCTGTAAGTAGAAACTTCTATTTTCATACCAATCATAATTTGATATATATGTACAAATTTTCTTGTCTTGTGTTTTTGATAAATTATTTTTACGTATGTATCAAATTGTAATTTGCTAGAAGAATGAATGTCTCTTTATAAAAGGAAGTAGACAAGCAGTGTCCTATATATAGAATTCCGACACGTAGTAACTTTTTAAGGTGCTCCTATACACTTTTATTGTTGCATGACATTTGTGATATACGTTTTGGATTGAAACTGAGTGAAAAATAGTCAGACGATATGATGATGTGAATGATAGAGAGATCCTTAATCACGACTTCCTCATCAATTATGTATTATTAACAACCCCATGTGGCTTTAATGTCAAAGATTAGTTTTCAAAGCTTTACCAATACAAGAAAAATATTCCCAAGCCAAAGAAGAAATGACATAACTGCTTCACATAATATTGAAAATAATGGGAATTTCCATGTGCATCCGTAAGATGTCAAATCTATCGTCAACGGTTGGACAACTCACGATCCCCTAATGCTTCTTGCCCGTGCCCTCTAAAATCCTTAGACTTGTTTTCTTTTGCTAAAATTTC